CGCGGCGTCCAGGCGGGACGATGGGAAACGGGATGTGCTCCCGAAAGCAGAAGCGGATCTTCCAGACGCTGCTGCTGCTGACCGTGGTGTTCGGCTTTCTCTACGGCGCGATGCTCTACTACGAGCTGCAGACCCAGCTGCGGAAAGCCGAGGCGGTGGCGCTCAAGTACCAGCAGCACCAGGAGTCCCTCTCCGCCCAGCTCCAAGGTACGCTGGACGCGCGGCCGCGGCCAACTTTGCCCTGCGCCGCCGCCCTCGCCCCGGCTGCAGAAGTGGCTCTGGGGAGCCGTTGGCCCTGCGGGTGCCACCTTTGACCTTCAGGGACTTCAGGAGAGAGCGGTGCAGGGTGCCTGACCCCGAGTGACAGGGAGGATGACATCCCCATCCTCCCACCTCCTTCCAGCGGTTACGTTTGAAATCCATAGCCGCAGCGGGTGCCGGGCCGGGCGCCTGGTGGGCGGTGCAGAGTCTGTGCCCAAGCACTGTCAGAGGCCGGCCGCAGTCGGGCAGGGCAGGCAAGTTAGCCTCCTGCTGCTCCCACCCACCCACTGAGAGCAGGGTTCCGTGCGTTCTAGGCATTTGCTTTCCAGCTGACTTTCAGCTGGACATGGGAGTTTGGCGGGGATTTCTCAAACTGTGTTGTTTTTCAAGGAAAAATTAAGCTATGACCCAGCAGTTCAATCTAATGCCCCAGTCGAATTAATCTAGGTCTCCTCGCTTCTTACTCTGTGAGTTGAGTAGGGTGACGTTCGTGGTGTTGGACGTGTTGGGAAAGTCTGCACTCACCGTGCAGGCTCTTAGTTATCCCAGAGAAGGGCTGAGTTTGTCTCGTACCTTGCCTTGGGAAGTCGGAGGAGAAACAGTGTTAAACTTTGTCAGACGCGACGTTTACAACTTGAGCAAGACCCCTGGAAAGACTTAAACTGTGTATCCTGTTTCAGAATGTTACTTAACATGAATTTCAAAAACATAAATGATCCAGGACTGCACAGTGAGTACCCTGTGGTCTCGTTAACTCGGCGTCATCCTATACACATTATTTTGAAAGCTTTTAGTTGTGCTTGTGGTTAAACTAGCCCAAAAGTAATAGTAAAAAGCTGCAAGTAGTGAAATGTTGACAGTCTGCTGATAATGCCAGCATGGTTTGTTTCCTATTACTAGGCAGATACAAGCTGGAGGGGTGTCTCTGTCTGCCTATATGTATACAAATAGAAAACACATGCCTTTTTGTTGCTCGAGCTTTTCTGAGTGTTTTCTAGTAAAAAATGTAAGATGAGAGAAAATGATACACAGCTGATTGCTTGGTCTTATTTGCTTTTCCCAACTGGGAAAGAAAGAAAGTATTTTTAGCTTACTGGAACTGCATAGCCACAGGCAGTGAAATTATGTGGCCAGGATAGGTTCAAGGGGAAAACTTGTTTTTGTGTACTCTGAGGCTTCAAAACGTTTTCTTTACATTTGTTAAAATTTACCCATGAGTTATTGTTGGTTATTTACTTAGAAGACCTCAGCAGCTTCCCTGCAAAGTTCAGGACAGACTAAGGGAAGAGCTTGGGAACGTGCAATACCAGGACTGTTCACACACGTGGCTGGACGGGGTCTGTATGTTGGGTTAAATGAGGCAGGTGCCTTGGCCTCTCGGTTTACCCCTGAACTAAACTCCCTTGAAGACAAGGGTCTGCCCATGTGTCTTCACCATGGCTTCCTCTGTACTGCCCAGTGTCTGCCTCTCAGGAGAGCAGTCAGTTCATGTTTACACAACCACCACAGCAACATCATCCTAAACCGTGGTGAGGAAATGAATCCCAGGCACTTTGTCTGCTTGCTTAGGCTTTGCTTTTTGAAAACCTAATAAAGCAACACCAAAATATTTTGCTCAAGTAGCTCCTTTGCCTCAACTGCCATTGCTAGACCTCATTGACTGAGGCCCCTGGTTTTGAATCTTGGCTTTTATTTGCAGTGTTCTGGTTTGAAAATGTCATTTTCCTTTCGCTTTTATTTGTCTTCTTTTGGTGTGGCAGGGGGGAGAGGTGGTAAATGGTCATACGGTATCATTAGAAAATGTACAAGGTTTGCTTGGCAACCACAGATGAAAATGTTATACCTAGTTTGAACGACTGGACCTAAGGTTCATTTCTTAATTTACTCCTCTGTCATCTCCTCTTGAATTGTGGTGCTACAACACTTACAGTGTGGTTGCGCATGTAGAGTTACTTCACAAGTAGGCTAAAGTTTCTTTCTTTTTTTTTTTTTAAGGGATTTACTGTTGACTTTTATAGCATTTATTTTGGATTTGACATCTGCAGGCCATTTAATGAACATTTTCTGATGGTATGCAGTTTTCCCTCCTCTTTTCCAATGACATATTACTCAGGAGTACTTTCTCACCCATGTAGATGGGTTTTTAGGGATTTAGATGACCCAGTCTTCAGATTTGTTTAGTTAGGTGGAATCTATTGTTTTGTACTGGGTTGAAATCAGAGCTAATTAAGAGAGGCTTTCTTTTTAAAAAGTGGGCCTGTATTGGGACCAGCGGTTGGTGTAATGGCTATGTCACTGGACCCCTATGTAGTCGACCATGGTTCGAGTCCTGGATCCGGTGGCTTAAACTCATGCCCGACACATGTGCATGTGTGCCCAAGATCCCGAGAGGAAAATGGAGGAGAAGGAATTGCGGCCTGGCCATCCCCCCTGGGGGGGGGTGTGTGATTTCTCACTTTCTGTCTCTATGTCTCTCTCTGTCTTTCTGGCAAGCGCATGCGCCCTATAGCAAAAACCTCTCTGAAAAAATAAATATTAATAAGTCAGCCTATAATGTAATGGTATACATTTGTTACATGAGCATTTAGGTCATCTTCAGTTTAAGAATGGGTTATACTTCAGAGATTAATTGAAAGTAGGTTACTTCTAACCCCAACTGCATGTTGTTATAAAATATTCCCATAAATAGACAGTGGAAAGTGACATGGAGAAAGTTCTAGGCAGCCTCCCTCTCCACTAAAAATGACGCCTATGCCTGTCTGTCTATCCATCTGTCATCCATGGAAGTACCTTCTACACTAGCACCTTAATTATACTGTGGAGTGAAGCAGAGGTCATATACTTTCTGGTGGTAGAGGCAGTGACAGCCTTTGGCCACCACGGTGTGTAATTAAGCTTTAAAGTGTTTTTAGGGCTGGCTCCATAGTCCAGCAGTCATGCACTGCTCAGGAAAATCCAGATCTGTCATGGTGGCTGCAGTTTGAATCCCTGGTCCTGGTCAGCCTTAAACACACCAAGCACACATGCCAGTGCCCATGAACCAATGGGCTGGAGCTCTGGAGGGAGGGGATGGCCACGTGACCAGACCCCCAATGTGGAGGTTAGTCCTCTGTTTTTCTCACTTGCAAATGGTTTATCATGAATAAAGAAGAAATGAAAAAAAAATTAATCTGCTTTCACATGAGCCACGCTGTGATCTCTGTGTCTAAAGGAGGTGTCTCTTGGTCCAACTGCCCCTTGGAATCACCTGGAAGCCTCCCAACCCAATTAAATCACAGTCTAGGCAGTTGAACTCAGGCCTCAATAGTCTTTTCTTTTTGGAGAAGTTTTTGCTATAGGGCATGTGCACTTGCCAGAAAGACAGAGACAGAGAGACAGAAAGCGAGAAATCACCCCCCCCCCCAGGAGGGATGGCCACGCCGCAATCTCTTATCCTCCATTCTCTTCTTGGGATCTTGGGCACATACGCACATGCGCCCAGCGTGAGTTTAAGCCGCTGGATCTGGAACGTAAACCATGGTTGACTACATGGGAGTTCAGTGACATAGCCATTATGACATCTGCTGGTCCCAGGCCTCAGTAGTCTTTAGAGCTTCCTAGGTGAGTCCATCTGCAGCCAAGGTTGAGAACCACAGCTCTATAATCTTAAAATGGAGCCAGTTAATGTATAGTTTACTTGGTTGGCCTGAAGGACATTTGAATTATTTTATTTTTATCCCAAGCATGTGATTATAAGCAGACTGGTTTCTAGACTATGATTCAATGTCTAGTTCTGCAATTGTTTTTTTTGGTATGTATTTGGGCACTTTTTTAGTTTTGCTGTAGGGTGCCTGTATTCACTAGAGAAAGACAGAGAGGGAGGGAGAAGTAATCCCCCAAGGGGATTGGCCGAGCTGCAGTCCCTTCTCTACGCTCCTCTTGGGATTTCGAGCATGTGCACACACGTACCCAACGTGCTTGTCAAGCTGTCACTTCCTGAGCTCAGACTGCTCAGTTGGCCATGTGGGATCCAGCCACCTTAACCTCCATGCCATCTGCTGGCCCTTATTTTTCTGATTTGTAAATGGGGATTTGAATGATCTCTTGTTAGAACCAAGCGAGATAATGCCTGTAGAACTCTTAGTGCATATTCGGCACATGGTAGGTACTGTGTATTCATGATTAGCTCTTGTTATAATCAGAGGTAAGACAGTTCATCTCTTTCCAGGTGTATCATGGGTAAACTTTTGAAATCGGCACAATTTGTTTTTGTTTTAGAAAGATTTTTGCTATAGGGTGCATGCACTCGCTGGAGAGAGAGAGAAAGAGAGAGAGAGAGAGCAAGAAATCACCCCTAAGGGGGCATGAGCATGCCCCATTCCCTTCTCTTCCATTCTCCCCTGGGGATTTTGGGCACACACACACACACACACACACACACACACACACCTGCCAAGCCACATTGTCTGGAACTGGAACCACAGTCAATTACATGGGAGTCCAGTGACGTGGCCATTATGGTGTCTGCTGGTCTCAGCACAATTTGTTTTTATTGTTAGCCAGTTCCTTTTACTATATCTAAATGAACTTGGAGGAAAATAGGTGAACTGGCATCCACCCAATATACTTCACTCAGGAAAAAGGACCTTCCTTGAAATTTAAATGTCGAGTTGGGTGAGGAAAATAGGTGAACTGGCATCTACCCAATATACTTCACTCAGGAAAAGACCTTCCTTGAAATTTAAATGTCGAGTTGGGGTAGGTTACTGATTAACTCACCTCTGGATCATATCAGATTAGGTGAGGATGTGACTCCTAAGCCAATAACCATGTGCAGTCAGATCTGGGAGAGAGAAATAGCTACTTAAGTTTTTTCTTTTTTTTTTAAGGTGCTTAGTATCAAGATAGGGAGACAGGGAACTTCACATTCCCAAAACAACTTATTATAATATTGCAATGCTTTTGGT